TGTTGAAGTGAAACAACCAATCTTGCTTAGCTTTATCTGTTGCATTTCCTTGCACCTTTGCTGCAAGATATCACACTGGGAATGAGACAAAGCAATGGCATCTGTATATTCATGCCAATGCAAATACTTTATATGCTCCTACAGGTCTGTATTCACATGATGAAAGCAACTATTTCAGGGCAACAACAGAGGGGACAGCAACTTCATAATCAGAAGCAGAGGTGCCTTAAAAAGTAAAGGACAGTTGATTATCTTCCTATAAAATTTTACAGTATATTCAAATACAGAAGGTTTGGAGAATAACTAGAACAATAATATTTTACCCCTTCCTTATTCTGAAGCTGGCATCTTAATGTCTTTCTTTCATATACTGTATTCTGTCCGAAACAGATTATAATATGCATTGTATTCCATCCTCCTTTATAATCACTGAAGCAATTCTGATGGAAAGAACTACTGGATCCTGAGAACTGAATAGGTATCACCACACACAATACATTTAAAATGAAATGAAATTACATGCCTAGCAGAGAATGCTGTTCTCCTTAACGTTTTTAGGATCTGAATGCCAAACTGTCACATACAGGGATTGTTGAAAAATTTCACCTTTCGACTCATCCCTTGAAATGAATTGAGATTAAAAAACAAAAAAGAACAAAACTAATAGCATTTCCTCTTTCAGGTGGCATCTCAGTTTTTAATACAACTCATATCACTATAGTATGTTCCTCTGAACATATAACTAGTTCTTTTCATGTTGTCAAATAGGAATTCAAAGTTTATGTCTTCTATCCACTGTTTTACTGTTCCCTTACTGGGTCATCATATTCCTAACAGTTGTCTTTTAAGTCCTATTTCAAGCATGGGGAAACATGGAAGTTGAAAGATGTTGAATCAGGACTGTAGGGAGGGTGAGACTTAGAGCTGGGCAGTAAATCATGCTCAGATTATGCCAAAATCACTTTGAATCATGTAATTTGGAAGTTGCTGGCACTTTAAATCACATTTGGTTTTCTTTTCCTTCAATGTTTCCCAGGATTATTATCATTTCTATTGAGTATTTATTATCTTTTTAAACTTTTTCCCATCTTATCTGTCTGTGATATCTGCAAAGCTCTCCTCTAACACCATATTTTGAATTAATCCTTTTTTAACCCGATCAGTTTTCTTTGTCTAACTTTCACATATGCACATAATAATCAGGAATATTACAGTATAGATAATGTTGGCCTTGGTCTCCAGCGACCATTGACACATGAGGAACTTCTTTAATTATGTCATAGCTGCCCTTCAGTGTCTCACGGTTCTTTTGATTTCTCAAATACAGTCTCCATTTAGACAAGTATTTCCCATCTTTGGGTCCTAAGGCGTTCTTGAACTAAAACTCCCAGAAGCCTTCATCACTAGCTGTGCTGGCCAGGATTTCTGGGAGATGTAGTAAAGGAACATCTGGAGATCCAAGGTTGGGAACCACTGAATAAAGGTATAGAAAATCTTTAACAATATTGATGTTTTAATTCTGAAGATTAAAGTTATGCAATTATTCTGTAGTCATAATTAGAGATGGACAGAAATCAATGGTTCAACAGTTCATGCCAGTTCATTTATCAACCTAACAAATGTTTGGTGCTTCAAAGCCTCACTTCCAACAGTGACAACTTAGAGGCAGTGGCCTCTTTCCCTGCCTTGTCTCCTCTGGGCACTGTCTCTGAGTGGGCAAGAGGAGGCAGGGGTTTGAAACTCCAAACACCTGTTCAGCTGATAAACAAACTGGCACAAAACACTGAACCAGTGGTTCGTGCACATATCTAGTCATAATCTATCTTCAATAAAATCAATAAAATCCATGTATCTAGGGAAGCAAATTGGAAGGCACCTTGTTTCAAAAAAGAAACTGAGAAGCTGAAGGCGGTGAACAAGAGGCTCAGTGACTGACCTGGAAGTTTCTGATTGCTAAAGCCAAGGGGGCATGGACCAGAACATTAATAGCATGAGACATTGGTGAGAACCCCATTAGTTGCTATGAACCTTTTGAAGCATGGATTGGAAGTTTAAAAAAAAGGTGGAGGTGTTGGCTTGATACCTTCTTTGAGAGGAGGGTAGAAGTATAAAAAAATTAAAACAGCATCGATCGGATTGACACATGCAGTATTGAAATGCAGGCGCTACTGCATCTCGTTTCTCCTTTCCCCTTACCCACTCCCACAATTCTACATGAACAACTTGAGCTACTTCAAGTTAGAAGGTAGAAGCTGAATAGAGCAACAAAAGTATTCTGAATTGCAAGAAGCCATTTCAATCATGTACTGGGGCATGAGTATTTGAAAATCATAATTTGCATTAATTTTATGGTATAACTTTAAGAAAAATGCCACTCTATCTATCAACCTCTAATGCAGAATATACTGCGAAAGTGCAGTCTACTAATTCCTTCTCTGACACCAACAATGGTCACAACCTAATTGGGGATATAGATGATAACCACAGAAATGGAAATAAAATGTTCACTGTTAAATGGAGTTTATGATGTGGCCACACATTCAGTTCTATTTCCACTGTGGGGGTACGTGATGAAAAGGTTTATGAAGAAACAATGATTCTAACAGACTAAAGACCAAAGGCATACATTTTTACCAGTACTGAGACAAATGACCTTTATGTTGATAACATACTCACATGTTTCCTGAAATGATTACTTACAGTTAACTTATCTAATTTTTTTAGTTCTTTCAGAATTTATCTTCATTGGTTTCTTATCATACTGGGCCAAATATATTGAATCAGTAGTAAATAAATCCTTCTACTGTAATTGTCTACACTTGCATCATTCTACTGATGTTACTAGTACTGTATTACTTATGATTGTAGATGGCTTAAAATATTTGCCAACCAAAACTTCAAGGAATGTGTATTTAACCTCAAACCCCATTACAATATACCCATAAAACAGTGCCTATCACTCCAACACTATATATATAGTGAAAAAGAACAGTGGATATTAAGTAGATTTTATATATATATATACTTAATATCCACTGTTCTTTTTCTTTCCAGTCTCACATATATTTCACTTCCTTTGGTTTATTGTCCCAGGTTTCCCACATAATATTTCAGCAAAGAACAGGGCAGGCTCTGGTATGAAGTTTCTATAATGTTTATAGAAGCTTAAGATTTCACAGATGCAAGAAAAGCATGCAACATACGCTTTACCCAAAATATTCTATAAAAGAATATATATAATTTAAGAAATGCAGTTGATTTTTGCCACCTTTTTTACATTAGGCACAACTAAATATTTTTTTTGCTTTTGTTTATTTCCATTTTGGCAGACATCTAGGAGTTAACGTTCTTGAAACTAAACTGATTACCAACTACCTAGACCAGATTAGTGTCCACACATTACAAGTGACAGAGAAAAGTGTCGAATATGTTTTTATCCCATAACATCTGGTGATCAGCTGTTACACGTTACAACTGACAGCAGCATTTTGAAGGGCACAGCCTGTTGTGGAACTATCCTATGAAAAAGGAGACATGCTGTCACAGAAGCTTATTTTATACAAGCAATTTCAGCACACTGGTACAAAACAAGGTATAGCTACAGGTACACAAGTATTGCTTAACTACTGCTTTTTTAAAAAAGTTGTTCGTTGTATCAGGTATTGGTGCTACTCATTTAAGTACTTTTACAAAATGAAAACTGTGTATGCCCTATATTTAAAAATAATATAATCAAACTAGCAAAGTAATAGCATTAAAAAAAACCACAACACAATTTCCTTCTGCCACTATAATATGTCCACATCACTGTACACATTAAGCAGAACTTAATCTAAACTTAAGTTAAGCAGTTTCTAACTTTAAGAGTCTGTGGATGACAACTGACAATTATCTCAGACAGCAAGAAGGAACACAAAGGTCAAGTTAATTTCCTGAAAACCGTTTGCCGTTGAGAAATTATGACTGTTTCCTGAAACACCCCAGCAGACTCTCTGAAGTTGTTGTTGCTCTTTGTGAATCTTTCCTGCTGTTGTGTATTCATGCACATCACCCTCCCAACTGTGCTATCACAGATTTTAGCTACCAGCAACTCAGCTCTAACTCTAAAGTTTTAGGAACACACTCACCCTGTTCCAAGGACACAGATTTACATGCTTTGCCTTTGATAAAGAAGCTGGGAAGGCAGAACATCAACAAACCACTTCTAGTGGCACTAATGCTGCATTCCCCAGAACAAGTCTGTTCTTCTACTAATGTAAACTGCCTTATGCATTCTCTGGGAACCAATGGAGCTTATCGGTCTCTACAGCACTTAAGAGTCCTATGCAAACAACAGATAACAGGAAAAATGACTAGGGTTACTGATGCTCCCCATCCTAGGGGGCTCATTTGCTTGCTTCAATTGAACAAACCAGGAATCACATTTATAATCTCCCTCGAACAGTAGGAAAGTTGGGACCAGCAGATCCATCAACATGAGGTAGGCAGATCACCAAATCCATTATCTTCAAGCCAAAATTAACAGACTGGGACCACCTTAGATTTCAGAATGTAAAAATAAAGCACAGCTTTCATTTTTTTTCTCCCATCCTTTGCCTAAGTACAGTATCTCTTCTCCCTCTCCTCAGATACACTTCGCAGCACAAAGCAACAAGCAAACTCAGGCATCTTGTGATGCATAGAATGTGTCATTCTATTCTGCATTAACTAATCTGGAATGTTTTGATCCCACTCAGATCCTAACGGCAGGTTAGAAATACCCGCTCCACGCAACACCATGCACTGAAAGAGGAACCAGAGTGAGAGAACCCATCTTTTTGTGGCTCTCAGATCGCCACCCAGCTTCTACACACAGGACAAGGTGGTGGAGCACTATTGAGGGAGTACTTAATCCGCATCAAGTGGTCAGGTCACATGGTAACTACTGAGACAGGGCGAAGGGAAGTCACCCCGGTCTGTGGCAAACCAAGGAAAGGGGGGGGGGAATGTCACTCGCTTACCTTTGCTTGCCCCAGATCGGGCTCCTCCTCGTAGTAGCCCTGCCCGGATTCATAGGCAGCAGCCGTAGCTGGCTCGCGAGCTCCCAGCAGTACCACACCAGCCGCCGCCAGATAGCAACCCAGAGAGAATAATCCCAGCAAGTGCATTGTGCAGAGCGCGGCAAGGCGCGACCGCGGGGTGGGGAGGTGCAAGCCGTAAAAGATCGCGCGTGGGCAACGCTGCGTGGCTCCCCGGCGAGTCCAAGCCCTTAAACAGTAGCCACTTCCCTGGGATGGAGCAAAGGTGCGGAGAATCCCCCTCCGCTGGCCCAGGCGCTCGCCTGGGGGTTTTCCTCCCCCCCCCCCCGGGCTCTCCTTGTTCAAAAGGTTATTGGGGGCTGGCA